ATAGTGAGAATTCTTTATTATACAACATACAGTTTATAAATCTTGAGAATTTATCAAACCATTGATATTTTTTTCTATTTTGGAAATCTCAAACAAAGGCCACGATGAAGGAAACACAGCAAACCCCAGGAGCCAGCACCCGGCTTCAACGTTAAACTGAGACCTTGCTGGTGGCCACTGGGCCTGTAGTGTCGAAGCAGGCCCTTGGCACCTCTTGGAGCCAGGGCTCCCGGGATCTGAGGTGAGCTCTGGACACCTGGAGTTTGCAGCTGCTCATGTAGAACTTAGGAGTGACCTCCTAATCTCCTGATCCCATCAGATGGGAGTGGACAAAGTTCTGCATGAAACACATGACCTTCTCCTTGTAGACGAGACAGACATCGGGTATCTGATGTGCAGACGGGTGGGGGGATTCTTGGGATTCTGCCCAAGTCCACAGCCATGGGGACGAAGCCCACAGCAGCACACGCATTTCCTACCCATAACACGCGAACTCAACGTCCCCCTTCCCTCATTGGAGAAGTAAAAGAACGAGATGAGATTTGCTAATCAGGAAGAACAAATCCTACAGCCATTCCCCACACACTGCTCAGCTCAGTTATAGGGGGAAAGAGGGAGGAGAGTGGAGAGGGGGTGAGAGGGGAAAGAACAAACCCCAGAATGGGCTCAAAACGGAAGAAAGGGGCAAGGAAGGGACAGCAGGTTCTCATGTCAGAGGAGAACTTACATTCAGTAACATTCACTCTCTGTTGAAGATGGTTGTGTTGAACTGTAACACAAGTGCCACTCCCTCCCCGCCTCAGTAATACCCTCCTGCCCCTTTGCTGGCCCCCACCACAGCCCTGGCACCCATGGGTCTGCTCTCTCACCCTGTAGCCTCGCCTCTTTCAGAATGAGTATAGATGGAATCCTACAGTGTGGTGCCTCCCTTCTGGTCACCCGCAATTCTGTGTTTGGGGTCTAATGGCTGTCCCCCCAAGAAACGGTTCCTTTCTCCCAGAGTGACCCTCACGCCTGGGGGACCGGGCTCCTGAGCACGGCAGGCAACTGGACTTACCCCTGAGGTGGTCTGTCTTTGTGGAGCCTGTCCTGAGCCCCTCAGCCCTGCCCCACAGAGTCGACTGGCCACCCCCATCCCCCCCAGAGGACCTGGCCAGCATGGTGGCCTCCATCTGTCCCTCCCCGTGGGAACATGGGAGCTCTTAGAGCAGAAACTGCATCTCAACATATGCTGTGTGGCACCCACTTTAACATGTGGAAGTGTGAACATGTGACCACTCCCCACCTCACACCACACTGTTGCCTCCCCTGAAAGAGAGAGGGCTGGCGGTGCTGGGCTCTCCCAGAGCTAAATGGCCTTGCCTACCCTCCTGAAGACTTGGGGTCCCTAACTGAAGCTATGGACCCCCACAAACAAAATGAGACAATGTCCCTGTGAGAGAGACACAAGAGATAGCTGGACTGGCCAGGGCACAGGCACTTGGGAGAGGCATCTCCCGGGGCTGTCAACCCCACACCCGGGGCTGTCACCAGCTCCCCCAGGGTGCAGGACCCACCGCTCAGGTTGGGAGATGAACTGCCTGCCTCATAGGTGAGTCTGGGTCCCTGGGCACCAGTGAGGCTTATGGAGAGAGCCTGGGGTGGACTCGGCCTGGGGAGGTAGCACCAAGAGAGTGGCTCCCAGTAGGAGGGGTGCTCACTCGTCTGACTGCCGTCCAGCTAATTGCCAGGCAGGATGTGGGGCTCAAACTACTTGGGGCTGTGGCTGTTAGCTGTTCCAGACTCTGTGACATCTGGGCCCAATCATTCTGTGTTGGGGCCTTCCTGTGCACCACAGGGTGCTGAACAGCATGCCTGGCATCCACCCACCCAGTATGGCCATCAAAAGTGTCTCCAGACATTGCCGAATGCCCCTGCAGGATGAAATTTCCACATTAGAGACAGGTTAGGACTTGGTCAATCCAAGGTAAACAGAGGGGCTTTTGTAGATTATGGATAATCCAGGGTTTCTTTAATTGTTAAACACATATAAATATACATTAAAAAATATAAATTTGGGACACCTGTCGGTTAAGTGTCCGACTTCAGCTCAGGTCATGATCTCATGGTTCATGGGTTCAAGCCCCTCGTGGGGCTCTGTACTGACAGCTCGGAGCCTGGAGCCTGCTTCAGATCCTGTGTCTCCCTCTCTCTGCCCCTCCTCTTCTCATACTCTTTCTCTCTGTCTCTCAAAAATAAACAGTAAAAACAAATTTTTTTTAAATATAAATATGCCATTTTAACCATTTCATGTGTACAGTTCAGTGGCATTAAGTATATTCATGTTGTGCAGCCACCCCACCATCCACCTCCAGAAGTTTGTTATCTGCCCAAACTGCAGCTCTCTCCCCATCAGACACCAACTCCTCATTCTCTCCTCCCCCAGCCCCTTGCACCACCCCCCCACACACACACACCAATACTTTCTGTTTCCATAGATCTGATTCAGGGACCTCATTTATGTGGGTTCATACAGTATTTGTCCTTTTGTGTCTGGTTTATTTCACTGAGCATAATGTCCTCAAGGTTCATTCACTTTGTAGTACAGGTCACTATTTCCTTCCTTTTTATGACCCAATAATGTCCCACTGTATGGCCATCCCACATGTTTATCCATTTATCAGTCCATCGTTTATCCATTGATTAGTTGATGACACTATGTTTGCTTCCACCTCTTGGCAACTGTGACTGATTCTGCTGTGGACATGGGTGTACAAGTACCTGCGTAAGCCCCTGCTTCACTTCTTTGGGACACAGACCCAGAGTGGGAATGCCAGGTCCTATGGTAGTTCTCAGTTTAACTTTTTGAGGGATCTCCATCCTGTTTTCTCCAGAGGCTGCAGCATTTTACATTCCCACCAGCAGTACACAAGGGTTCCAATTTCTCCACATCTTTACCAACCCTTGTTATTTTCTCTCTCCGTGTGTGTGTGTGTGTGTGTGTGTGTGTCCTTATGAGCACAAAGTGGTCTCTCTCTGTGGTTTAATCCAAATTTTTAATTCATCATAAATTATTTCCCAGGTGTATGTGTAATAGGATCTCTGTCTTCCGGAAACTTAAATCTCACTGGGATGAGACACCTGCATGGGAAGTAGCTGGAAACTGGAGGGAAACCCAGTGGCAGTGTGCAGGGGGGTGGGGGGTGGGGGAGCAGGGGGCAGTCTTTGAGGAGCCAAAGGGCCTCATCAGCACACAGCAGGCACCTCAGCCCCCTCGTGTGTCCTGGTCCACACAGGACTGAAACCAGTCCTCTTCCTGGTGGAGTCCTCTCCCGCCAGCAGCTCACCTGTTCAAGGAGCAGGACTGGTAAGTGGCAGGGAAATGACAGTGCCAAGTGAAGAGGCCAGTGGCAGCTGCGGCTCTGGGGACAGTCCTGCAATAGCTTCTGGGAGTCCGGGTCTCCAGAAGAGGGTGCCTGCTGACTGTTGCCTTGGGCCCTGCCTCTAACGGACCCTCCTGGCTGTCCACCCAAAGGGGAGGAGGGCTTGATCATCGGTGCCGAGAGGGTGAGACATGACGAAAAACACCAAGGACTACAAGGGCCCGCTATAGAAGCCTCCATGGGGCGCTGGGGAAAATGAGGCCCACTGCCCCTCGCTGCCCAGCAGAGCTGCCCAGTCCTTCTCAGTGGAGATGACAGCAGGCACGCTTGGGGTCCAGTGGCCTCTCTTCAGCTCCGCCTGTGGGGATGGTGACTTTGCCTCAAAAGCCCAGAGTGCGTGCTCCCTCACAGAGCCAGGCTGCTGGGTGACAGGTGTGTGGGGAATGTGTGTATATGAGTGTCCACCTCCGCGATCAGCTGGCAGCTGGCAGCTCCCTGCAGCCCACTCCCCACCTTAGCCAAGATGCCCTCGGGCCAGGTGTATAGCCTGACAGCTCCTGGTCTCTGCAGTTCTGTGCCCTGTAGTTTCTTCCAGGAGAAGGGCCAAGCTGGCCAGCGGCATCTTAATTAAACTGCTTGTTTTTCTCAGTCCTTTTAAGACTTTACTTACCGTTATCAAAAGATGGATTCTTTGCATGGAAGTTGCCGCTTCCTTATTTTGTTGCTGCCTGTCACCACACACACGCGCTCCTGGTCCCCACTGCCACGTTGGAAGAGCTGACCTACTAGTGCCCTTTGTAGATGAATGGCAGAGGACACACTGCAGCCAGCCGTTCTGCAGCTCTGAGCCCCACCTGCAGACCATGCAGGAGCCGGCCAGGCCGGGCAGCCTTAGCAGACACAGGGAAGGGCCTGTGTCCCAGCCAGTGACTCAAACCTACCTTACCATGAGGGAGGACTCGGAGAGGGCAGCCCTGCAGTGAAGAGCCTACCGCGTCCTCCAGCGCATGTACTGCCCGACAGGAAAAGATCCAAGCTGCAGCCACATGCAGCCAAACAGCCGTGGGGAGCCCACGAGCTATGGCCTCTTCCTTAACTTGGCCTCCATCAGCCCTGGCTGCCATTACCACCTTCACTGTGTGATGAGGTCACAAAAGAAGCCATCCTGTGGAAGAATCTAGAAAACATGTTCTGAGATGAAAGGTAGGTTCAGAGATGGGGACACAGATGGAGTGAGGAGGAAGTTAAGAAGACAGGTGTGTGCAGGGGTGGGCGCGGGGGCATCCATCCTGGAAGGCCAGGGCCACTGTGGGAAGGGCTCGGAGACTGGAGCCCCAGGAGCCCAGTCTCCCAGGGTGGGGCTTTGCTGTCTTCCCAGTGACCTGAGATGCAGTACCCAGAGCTGCTCCAGGCCCTGGCCCCGAAAGTCACAAGTATGTGGCTGAAAGAATGTCCCTCAAGTCCAGGCCCCCAGCAACTGTAAGGCCCACCAGAAGTTCTTCTGATCAGACTGTGACCCCCTTAGACTGAAAACTTCAGCATCTCTGAAGTCAGGACGTGTTTCAGTCTAAGGCGGTCACGGTGTGATCGGAAGGCCTTCTCCTTGGCGGTGTGAGCAAGAGTGGTGGGCCTAGACCCTCACGTGTCCCCAGCACAGGTCTCTGCAGCAAGAGCTGGGCCGGCCTTCTCTGTGAGCGGAGGGGGAAGACACGGGTGGCAGCCACTGGAAGCGGAGGATTAAGTACTTACTTTATGCAATTGAAAGCTGATAGATAAAGGATGTCAGCAATGCCATTCCTCTTTATAATTAAGAAGATAACTTAATTACTGCTATTAAAACCTAAGCTTCTCCCCCATGTGGGCTGCTTTTCATAAAATACCTTTGGTTCTGCTCTTCCCCACACACAGACCTGGCAGCAGTTAAACAGCGGCGCCGAGACTCCAAAGGTTCATCTTGTGAACCCATCTGGTTTGAAGTAGTACGACAAGCAGGGAAGGGAATTGAATCAAAGGCAAGATTTGTGTGTTTTTTTCAATACAGAAAATGTGTGGGGTAGACCAGGAAACAGTCCCATCCTCCGCTCCCAGGGCCGGGTGCCACCACCAGGCTTTGGGGCCATGTCCCCTGGCCTGCTCCCCGGCTGTGCCCATGTCACAATACAGAGGTGGCCTTGGGGGTGAGGGAGGTTGATAGGGAGGCATATGGGAATCGGGTTTGTGCAGAGGCATCAGATGTGCCCAAATAGATGCCCGGTCCTGCCCCCCGGCACCTGTGAAACTGCACAACCTCACTGGAACCCACACGGAGGAGGAGAGGATGGTCCCCACTGCTCACATGGACCTCCACCATTCATACCACTCCCACAGGGCAAGGGTCAGCACCCCAGCAGTAAGGGGAAACTGAGGCACAGAGGCTGCAGAACCTGGGAGGTGTGCTCTCCCTTACACCCAGCTCCAGGTTGGGCCACTGGAATCATTCCTTTGGCCCAGGAAGAAGCTCCTTGGGCCCCTGCCCTCCCTCTGTCTGCCTGCACATGGCTCCCCTGGCTCTGCCGGCGCTGCCCCTGGCAGCTGTGGCCCCGTGGAATTCTCTAGTGCTTAGGCGCTTTGATCTGCAGCACACCTGGAGATCAGTGCCTCACATTCACCCAACTGTCACCACACAGGTCCCACACACTCTTCGGACGTCCCCCAGCCAGAGGGAAGGGGTGGCTGAAGCCCCACAACCAGGCTTCCTCTGCCTCTGCAACTCCAGGCTTGAGGTGCCGCCGAACACACTCCCCTCATCCATGCCACAACCTCAGTGTTCTGCCCCCGCACCCCAAATGCTTCCCTGTGTAACCAGCCCCTTCAGGTTATTTGTCATCAGAGACCTGTGTCCACATCTGCCTGTGCCCTATGACTCACCCGACACGCTTGTTTGGGCACTTTCTTTTTGTCCCCATAAAGGCATGTGATGTTGGCCAGCTTTACTTAGTGGTAGTACTGGGGGAGGGTCCCATTCCAGAACATCCCTGCACCAGCCATGAGCCTGTGGATAAGACCCCATGGGCTGTGGGGTTGTTAGAGTGCTTGTGAGGAGGTGGCAACCACAGGGCTTGCCAGGGTGCCTGACACTTGGTAAGTCCTGTAAAAATGCTAGTCGTTTGTATTGGGGTATCCCACATACATTTCCAGCCTTCCTAGGAATCTGGAAGGTTTATGTCAAAGACAGAGGCTCCAGCGCTGGAGGAAAGCAGGTCCTACCTATGGCTCTGGTCTGGTCTTCCTCCTCTATTTTTTATTTTATTTTATTTTATTTTATTTTATTTTATTTTATTTTAATCTATTTATTATAGGC